TATATATATATATATATACAGAGAGAGAGAGAGAGAGAGAGAGAGATTTAACAAAGTCTCTAAATGACTACAAACAGTGCACTTATTTAACCCAAAAATTGATCCTTGAAGGAAGTCACTTCCATAATAATTGTGCATAAGTTCACTTGAAGAACAGGGTGTCATCTAGGAGACTTACAACGTAGACATAATGAGGAAGAAGTGATACAGTGGGTGTAATTTGAAAAAAAAAAAAAAAAAAGATGGAAGTATGTGTTAAAAATGAACATGTTGTATATTATTCTTAAACGTGTAACTCTGATAAATTTGCTCATTAGCACAGCTCTCATGACAGATTATATCATTAATAATCTAAGGCTGTGATGGTGGACATGTTCAGAGGAATGCTGCCTCAGAGAGGAGCCACGCCACTTGCAAGAGTCTTAAAAGCCATGCAAGACCCGGTGCAACTGCAAGCACTCATTCATGAAAAGGATATTAAACCAATATGAATTAAAATATGACAAGTTTTACGAGCACCATATTTTTTTCTTCTTTCGGCTGCTTCCTTCTTCAGGGGTCGCCACAGCGAACTAACTCGCATGAAGGCTTGGCAATTATTTTTATGCCGAATGCCCTTCCATACGCAACCACAAATCACCGAGCTACCACAGCCCTCTGTGTGGAGCAGAGAGCTGCCAACTAGGGTGACCGGGGGACAGATGGTGGGGGTTAAGGGCCTTGCTCAAGGGTCCAGAGTGGGGCAAATGAGGGTGGAGGCAGGTGTGGGTGCTTCACCTTTCCCACATGTGAATAATATAATTTATTCTTCTTGTCATTTAGACAGGATCATTGCAGATGACACCATTTATTTGCACAGCAGCCTCAGTGTCTTCATCTTATTAAGTGTGGCCTCTGTTTGTCATCAGCATGTGTTGCCAATCATTGAAAACACTAAATATATCATTGACAAACAATACCACAGTTAAATGGTAAATAATGCAGGATCATTTGTGCTCTTTATAAATTATACATTTCTTCACGTTGACAGCTGTTCACAGTAGACATGTACTTATCGGTACTAGTGTATAATGTAAAAACAATCTTTGCTTTTTTTTCCCCCTCATCTCACAAAAATAATTTGATTATGTTCATTGAAAGGAAAGTTTTGTGTTAGTATAGAAAGTTCTTCAGCATGGCACAACTTATTGCAACTTCCTATCTTTTCATAAAACAGCACTGTGCGTTGTGTGATAAGTGTGTTCCAAATTTAGATTATAATTTAATATTTCTTTTGGAAACTTGAAGGAGAACTGCAAGCTTCTAATATAGCCAAAAACAGCAACACAATTATTTGTATAAGATATTAAATCTGAGACTCCATGTGTCACTAAGACATTTTGATTTTGCTTCTCTCTTTATTCCACCCATTACCTCGTTCTTTGGGTATGACAGTTTTATCAGCTGTGATAAAAATGCAGCGTGTTTTGATATATATTTAAGATTTATATAGTGGTATTTCACAAACCACAAATAACAGTGAATATCTTCTCAAATGTATCCATGTCTAGTCATGCAATAAAAACAGTCTGTAGTGAATAAATTGCAGAATAAAAAAAAAATGTTTCTGAGGCTGAGTGATAGATGGGAATTTTAGCCTTGTTTGAGAGATGCATTGTCTGAAATGTGGTGAATTTGCATTTTACTATTGATGTCTTAGAGGTTTTAAAACAGAGACGAAGACCAATAATAAAAGTATATCAACAGGTAATGCTGACACCTGTGATAAAGCTAATAATGCACTTCTACATCAACCATCAAGGAACACTGAGCTTCTTGCGCCTTCATTTTCTTCCACAAAAGCCAAGAAGGACCATGAATTATTAACCTGGGTTACTCAGAGATGCTGGAGATCCTCTGGCACAGTGATACACTATTTACCAACTATCTTACCATCCTGCAGTGTTTAAGCCAAGACACTAAAGACAAAATTATATTTTTTAAGCTATTTTTTTCTTAGCATCTATCAATAATTGGTTTTATTTTTGTGGGCTAAATCACAATTTCGCCCACAAAAATAAAAAAAAATATATATATATATATATATATACATACATACATACAAACAAATAATTTATTACACCTGCAGCAAATAAGCTAGGGCCCCTGGTTTATCATCGCACAAGTAAACACACAAAAAACCATCAGTGCAGACTCTCAAACCAAAAAATGAAGGAGCATGAAAGACAAAAATAACCAAAAAAAAGTCTTACCTTGGCAATTTGGACACACCAGTTGAGCAACAGCTGTGATCCGATGTTGTCCTTGTGTTCATGAACGTAGTCAAGCAGGCAGCCATGTGGCATGAGTTGTGTCACCAGCTGGATTGTGGGACTGAGGCAGACGCCCAGAAGTCGGACCAGGTGAGGGTGCTCCATGCTAGCCATAATCAAAGCCTCCTGGAAATATCAGATTTACACTCAGGCATGTGGGGTCAAATGTTTAAGTATATTAAATGATAAAAAACAAAAAACTTAATTAATAACAAATATATTAGAAATACAGTGTAACAATTTACTTATAAACTAAAATGAACAAGTGCATATATTAACCCTGCATGGAAAGTTGCTAAACAACCAACAACAAAAAAATGATTTGCTTTTTATTTCATTAATTTATTGATGTAATGAAGGGGAATCAAGTCATTATTAAAATATTAGTTAGTTTTATTTTTTTAAATATATATATTAATTTATTCCTTATTAAAAAATAAATCCATCTAATCCTGTATTGCTTACTTGTGGGACAGTTGATATATATATAGACAAGAAAGTACTCTCAAACCATCAACCCCACACCAATTAACTGTTTTAGGATATTTGCTATTTTGTTAACAGTACTGCTGAACCTTTTAATACAATTAATAATATGTTTGCCACTCTTTGAATCACTAACATGGATGTTTATCTGTTTGCATATTCAAAACTAAAAAGTGTGCAGTCCTTGCTTTGGATGTGTCAAATTGTGCTTAGGTAGTTTTCTCATCAAAGGACAATTTTCCAACAATCTTTATATTTCCTCAGAGTTCATCATAACTAAAAGTGAAATTGGAAAGCCAGAGATCATAAAACCTCTTTTTTTCATTTTAAGGATGAAGTTTTTCTTGAAAAGAGCAGCAAGGTTCCAGTCCAGTCAGAAACAAATGAATTATTTTTAAAACAAAGTTCAAAATGATTCACTACTTCACAACTCGGTTTTCTTAGTAGTAAGGATATAGTAAACATTGCAGGGGGAGATTGCTCAGGAAAATTTATCTCTGCCTGGTAATGCAGCAGGAGATCATTTCTTTCCAGTTCTGTACTTTACATAGCGTTTCACTTTTATAAATGTTAGCAATAAACATGTTGCCGTAGATTTAAAGAATGCACATTTCTGGTCTGCAATACTGCACTTGATCAGAGCATTATATATACTGCAGCATGTGCTTATCATTCAATTGGAACACTACAAAAAGCAGATGTAGATCTAGTAATAAATGGATGTAATGCTCCAGACTCACACAGATCCACAAATATACACACACACAAAACATGGTGGCTACAAGTGTTTAAACCTAATGTGATAATTCATCATGAGATGGATAGCTATGGAGCAAAATATACCGGACAGCTGGAGGGTGGTTGTTATGTGTACACTGGGAACAGAGAGATTAATTTGTAAAGCTCTGCTGAACAGTGACAAAAAACTAGTTGTTTTATAGTTTTGAATTTACAGGGACTGCTTACAACTCACATCCACGCAAACAGATATGTCTAATTACACAGATGCAGTGCAAATGATGGTAGAGCCATTTCAAAATCTGCACGAGGCAGCATTATTCTGTTTGTAAACTTTTTTTGGACTACTTTATGTGTAGTAAAACATTATTAATATCTGGATATTTTTCCAAACAACATTCTGTGAAATTGATGAAAGACCACTTTCCTTTTTCTTAATCTAAAGCAAATCTTTTTTTTTTTTTTTTTCATTTTTCCCACAAAATGTCCTTTAAAACAACCAAAATATATTTGAGAAATTGATGTGATGTTTTTGAAGTAGTAGCATATACTGTATTTAAAACTTCAAAGTTAATTCTCAATAATCGAGGTAGAACATCCAACAAAGGTCAGTCAGGTCATCTGGACGGTTTCTCAGTTTATTATGACTCCTCGGACTGATGAAGTCCTTTGGATGATAGACAAAATGTCTCAACAAAAAACAAAAACATCTAGATAACTTGACTGAACTTTGTTAGATTTTCTACCTGGATTATTGAGCATGAACTTTGATGATTTGAACCACTATGGTTGCCTCAGAGGGGGAGCCCAAGAAACCATCTTATCACCAGCAAACTTGTTGGTCCACTCCTCGGACTGATGAAGGCCTTTCGATGAAGGACAAACCATTTCAACAACAAAAATAAAAAGAAACCATCCAGATGACCTGACTGAACTTTTTTTTGTATTTAAAACTATTTTTTGATACTCTTTTAAAAGAAATACACCTAATTGTGGTACATGCCAATGCTTACCTGTTAATTTGTAATTAATTAACTAGACTCTGAAAAGCTGTACTGTGTACACTAACAGATAAATAAAAGTGTAAAAAATAAAAATAAAAAAACACTTACACTGTGCTTAATTAAAACAACATTAAACATTTTGTTTTAAGGACAGACTCACCCTGCTGCAGGCAAAAAAAGCCTTGAGGAGAAATTTCTCTTTCAAGCAGAAAAACGTTGTATTGACCTTCTTTTCTTGTGGCCACTTGTGTTTATGGCATACACTTTAATGCACATGCTTAATGCACACATGTGCACACCAAATCTAGCATATTTCACTGCCCTGTTGTCTTTCCAAGTATATGTACCTCTCATTTTGTTGATGCACATTTTATTGCAGGTTAAAACTAAATATGTATTTTCTTTATGTGCTCCATAGTTTAAATTGCACACAGGAATACCCATAGGTGCAAACTAAGAGTTCAAAGATGAATTGTGTCGTTCTTCAAATAGTGTGAAGGGAATGTGCCCCCGCAGCAAAAAAGGTCACCCCTCGCAATTCCCAGCTGTGTCGTAACGGACGGGCAAAGGAAATAAACAGCAACCTGATTTCCCTTTTCAATCACCACTGATGGTTCCAGGATCACAAGCTCCGCTACAAACAGTTAAGTAAAAATACGAAAGGAAACATAAAAAGATAATGAACTGTATCCGGTAAAACCTAACATATAGAGAAACCTGCTCATATGCATTAACGAGTTTATACAAACATTTTTACTGAACAACTTTTATTTACCTGATAAATGTAACATAAGTACCTGACCTGCACAATACAGAACATTTGCTTATTTTATTTATTATTTCTGTGAGCACCTAATATAAAGTAAAAAGCTATAATAAACAAAACAGCAGAGAAGATGGTGAAGCAGTTCATCTTGGCATTTAGATCATGAACAATGGGCCAATTGTTGTGTTTTATGTCATAAACATTATAGATGTTAAACATATTATGTCCAGTGTTTTGATATATTTCTTAGTGACAGAAATCTACACCTTGACACAAATCACTGCAGAGATCTGCTGTGATTTTGCCAGTTGGGGAACGGCATCCCTCTCTCACACCATTCCTTAAATCACACACACACAAAAAAAACCTTAAGGCAGATAAAAAAAATTACCACGGATGAAGGCTATATGTCCACATTTAACCTTCATCTGTGTCAGGTACACACATCCAAGGTTCTGATTGTCGAATGAGATCCCAAAGCACACAGAAGGTAATATTAAAGACACAAGGGAAATTCATCAAAGACATCCTGATAAAAATAGAAATGCTAACACACCAGGACTCTTCCTTTTAGACTGTCAAACTAAGTGCAAAACATGAGTGCAAGTGGGTCGCTTTTAATGTGTGTGTGTCTGTGTGTGTTGATGAGAGTTATTTCATCTGCATTGCATCATTACAGTGTAATAATTTAGATTTTTTGCTCTGTTCCTTTTGAGATGAGCCAAGCTGTGAATGTTTTATAAATGGAGCCTTGTTCCTTGTGCTGGAAACCAAATGTATGATGTGTGTGTACGTCTACATAGGCAAGGGCTGATAGGAATCTATAGGATTCCAAGATTTGTTCTCAAGAGACTCACTTAACCACCAAACTGTTATTTTAGTCAAATTTCTATTCAACGGAAAACGTTTTCTGGTACCTGCTTTGTCATAATGTTGTGTTAGTGTTTTATTTTTAATGTGTTAATATTCTACAGGTGCATATTGTTGTCGTATACTGTTATATTTCCATGGCTAAAAGTTTCATAGCTTAAAAATAAATATTTAAAGAAATTTGCATTACCTCATTATATGGTGATTTCCACCTTAACAAATGTTGAAATATCAAATGCTAGATTAATGTTGTGTAAAACTGAAAATGCATAATCTCTTCTAGGAATACAGGATCTATAATTTTTTTGAAGATACTCACATCCATGAACTCCACATTCGCCTTAGGTCCAGTGGCCTCATTAAGGATTTTGATGGCTACAGGTATTTTCACAGTTTCACCCTCTGGGACCCAAATACCCTAAAGACATACAAATATAAAGGGATTACATTTTTTTTACACTTATGACAAACAAAGCTCCAACTTGCAGAAATTGTGATAAAATAAACATGTTATTGATTTTAAAGGAACAAGAGGAATCTCATTTAGAAATTTAGATTTGTATCCCCCCCCCCCCCCCCCCCTTTCTATTTATATATTTTCACCAGCAGAGTTAAAGAATGGCCTGCAGCATGCATGCAAATAATAATTTTGCTGTTCAAGAATAGCTGTAGTAAAATTATTTGATCATTTAGAGCTGATTGATTTCAGGTGTGATCAAAACAATTTAGAAATCAAAGCTTTAAAATGATGAGTGAAAACAGGAGCCTCTTATAAAATGAATAAGTAAAACGTTTATGTTTAGGACTTCTTTAAACTGATTTTTTTTTTTTTTTTTTGGTAAATAGCGCTTATGTTAGATAAAATCTGGTTATTTTGGTGTATTTTTTTAAATCTCTTTTTTTTTTCTAATTCTTCTTTCAGCTGCTCCCTTCTTTAGGGGTCGCCAGAGTGAACGAACTCACAACAAAATTGGCACTTGTTTCATACTGGATGTTCCTGATGCAACCACTGATCACCGTGCTGCTACCACAGCCCACGTGTAGATCAGAGGACGGTCATCCAAGGCAGCTCAGGAAGCAGATGGGGGGTGGGGGTGGGGCTGGGGGTTAGGGGCCTTGCTCAAGGGACCATAGTGGGGTAAATGAAGGATTAGGTAACTGTGGGTGTTTCACCTTTCCCACCCAAATTTTTGTCAGTCTGGAGATTTGAACCTGCAACCCCTCCCCAATCACAGGCTTGCCTTGTCTAACCTACGCACCCACACACCATATTATAATAGTTTTTTTTTTGTTTTTTTTTCTATGTGAACAATTATTCAGTGCTTTTCATGTAATCTTGATGCTGGCTATAAAAAAAATGGTTTTGTTTCTGTTGTATTTGTTTTCTATAAGAAATGGTTAATTTGAATAATGTTGGGTTTGTTGTAGCCTGAGCTGCTTTTATTGGTCAACCAGTTTCCAGTGTATCCACTTTAGTTTTAGTAAATCTATTTTTATTTAATTTCAATTTTTTAATCAACGTCAGCAGAATAGAGTAACAGTTTTGGTTTTTACCTCTTTTTTTTTTTTTTCCTTATGCTGGTCCAGGTTTTTCTTGTTTTGGTTTATTTTAAATCTGTAGTACTTATAGGTGTTACTGAACACTTTCATCCCTCCTCTTCCCTTCACCCTCACACACATGCTTTGTTAGTCTTATGAAGTAATAACAATGTAAAATACGTATTTTTGATTAATTCAGAAAATAAGCAATAACTTTTTTTTATTTTAATAAAACCATGTTTGTCTAATTACAGCTGTTTTACTGCTGAACCCAGTGTTGCACTGGTGATGACCTCAGCTAATGCTTGTTTCATTGACCCCTCAGGGATTTTAATGTCAGATCTAACTTATTCTTTTCATTTAAAGCCCCATCGCTTCTCATCACACATTCAGTAATAATGAATGTGAAACTCATCTCTTCACCCCATGATTTGCTGTATAACAAGAACATTAAGGCTTTATATATATGACTTAACAGTCATACATGAGCCTGCATGCAAAGACATATGTATTCATGTGTGACTAAAACCAGGGTCAGACAATAAATCTGCGTATGAGGTGCTGGTAAAAACTACCGGAGACAAATAATGTGTAGACAGTTCCCTGAAGGTATGGAATGAGGTGCCTGAGGAAACCAGGTCAGCAGAATGTGTGACCGCTTACACCAACAAGTCCACACAAATGGACATTTTACTTCCTACCACCTTAAATGTCTGTCAGTTATACCAAACCAGACAGTAACCAAAAGTCTGAAGTCATGTTAGAAAAATTTAAAATAAAAAATATTCATAAAAGTCATTTATTAGGTAGCATCAACTGTTTTAGACCTCTTTTTTTTTTCTGGTTGTAAATCAACAGTTTAAAAGCAGTTTCTCACCATAATATTTCTGGTAGGTGATCAGGAATGATACATTTGGAATCAAATAAAGCAACGACTACATAAAAGAAAGAACAAAAAAAAGCATTATCATATTAAGCATACGGTTACACCCTACTGTTTTACATTATTAGCATGTAGGGTTTACCTTAGATCTTTTAGCTTACTGTTTGGCATTTCTTTAATCATATATCTTGGTGTGCGTCTTAGATCCTTATTTACTGTTTCATTTTATACTTTTTACTTTGCTACTTCGGGGTGTTACTGTGACCCTGTGTATATAATTTCATTCCACTTCATGTACCACATGCGATGGAAACTACTATAAATTTGATAGGAACTTGACTTGAACTTAAGTATAAAAAAAATACATATATATATATACACATGTATATATATATATATATATATATATATATATA